TGTGATGTCTGCCCTCTCCAGCTGGGCAGCAGCACATTTCTGCGTCATGGAATTCTTTTCCAGAGATGGAGGCAGCGTATGTGTCCAAGTGACCCTTAAAAGCCTGAAGGCACTCTTGGAAAGCAAAGTCCAAAGCTTAAGGCCACAGCAGTGACCTGCTCCTCAAAACCATGTCACCAAAAATTCATATTGTGAAATTCATGACAAAAAGACATTGAAAAGCTCTATTTAAAAGCAGCATAAACCTGAAGGGCATTTTTGAATTCTGGGTTGGCTCTGGATATCAACTCCTAGAGAGCGAGGCCTGTGTTATTTCTTTCCTGACAGGCTTTAGCAGATTATGGTGGAGATCCTCAAGCCCACTTGAGTTAATGGCAAAAATCCATCTAGGTTCAATAAAGCCATTTTTACCATGACCCACCAACATGGATAATCCTGCTGTGGGGCTGGTCACGGATCTGCTAAATGCCTTAGAGGCTGCATCTGTGAAAGGTGTGGGGAGCCCCAGTTCACTGCCTACCAAGAGCTATCATCAAGGCAGGCCAGTCCTCAGTCTGGAAAAAGAAAGCTGGAAACTTCTTGTCCATTCAGGGCACAACAAGTGACTTCCCAGTCATCAGATGAGATGGAAAGGCAGCAATGGGAAGAACACTGGATTGGGAGTTAGGAAAGCAGGGCACAAGTCCTGGAGCCTCCTCCTGCTGGTGGCATCCTCTGAAGCAGGCTTGGTGGTGAGCCTGCTCACCCCACAGGCTGTGCTGAGACAGTGTCGCAGTGAGAGGGTGCACAGGGCACTGTAGACCACGAAGTGCTGTGCCTGTGCCACGGTCCTCATGTGCCTTCTGTTTCTCCCAGGAAGCCGTCCTTGACTGCTCCTGCCAATGCTGATGTGTGTGCTCCTCTGTTGGCACCAGGCATGGAGTGTGTCATTTCTGCTATGTCCTCTTCCTGACAGCCTTGCCCACGGCACACTAGCCCCAAGCCTGCAGAGCATTTGCACTACCTTTTTACATACCACCTCATCTCCTACTTGGCACCTTTAACCATCCTCCTCACAGGTGAGAAACTGGGGACAGTGGTGGCAGAGAAGTTAAGTGATGGTCTTGTAGTTGCCCAGCAAGTGGCGGAGGTTTGACTGAAACCCAGGCTCTCACATGCCAAACCTCATAATCCTTCCCTAGTCCCTGACACAAAGTCCAGGCAGGGGCAGAGAGCAGAGGGGTGAGAGCTGTTTCCCATAGAGAAATGACCCCAGTGAGAAAAGTCCTTCCCCCAGCATATGGCCTGGCTGCCCAGGTCTCTGCTAGCTCAGGCAGGGAAGTGCCAAGCCACCACCCTATACCTCCCAATGTACACTGTCCATCTGCATCTGGCCACTGCTGTGCTGCCTGATGCTAGGCACTGGGAGCAGCAGGAGGGATCCGACATCTGAAGCCAGGCATAGGACAAGGCTCAGCCCATTTCACAGACGGCACCAGGGACCCCGGCAGTCACCTGCTGAGCTGCCGAGGAAGGGTGCAGGTGGACATGGCTGATGATCTGGGTGCCTCTGCTTACCTGTTGTGCCACTTGTGAAACACACAATGGAGAGGTCATCAGGCTCCGGGGGCTGCAGGGGTGAGAAGACACATGTGTTAGGGAGACCCAGTGTGCCCATCCAGGACCCAAGATGCCTAGGCCCTCCACCAGCCAGCCCCCTGTGTGTGTTGTATGTGAGTGTGGGGGTGAGAAGACACATGTGTTAGGGAGACCCAGTGTGCCCATCCAGGACCCAAGATGCCTAGGACCTCCACCAGCCAGCCCCCTGTGTGTGTTGTATGTGAGTGTGGTTACGTGTTGAGCATACATGTATGCCCCTGTATGCTGCAGTTGGAAAGGTGGGCAGGTTAGCTCCCAAGAAAAGGGAAAAGAAGCTGAGAAAATCTCACTGGGACACAGATGCCAATCCATCCCACCAACCTCCCATCTGGTCCCACTGTGTGCCACCCCCCCGCCCCAGTCAAACCTGAGTTGAATTTTCCTAGATTGGATTGGGCTGTAGTGGCCACATCCACACCTCTACCAAAGATCTCACCTTTCTAGGGGATGCCACCCACTTCCCTCTTTCCTTCCCATTTTCTCCCATATATCCGAGGTTAGGCTTGGGAACACAACATGCAGCTCAGGAATTGAGTTCTGTGTCACCAAGACTGCTCTGTATCAGGCCATTGCTCTAGCACTGGCCCACAGTCCTAGGGTCACCAGGAGGAGCCCGAGTCCACTTGCACATAGAAAGGGTGGCTTCCATGAGCAGGTGACACTTGAGTTGAAATGGGAGGGCAAGCAAGATTTCTCCAGATGAAGTGAGGGTTGGCATTCTGGGGAGAGGAACTAGCCTGAGCACAGGCACAAAGGTACAGAGACAAGGGCACACTGAGGGATCAGAGGACAGTTCTCTAAGGCTGAAGCCTGGTATGCAGGAGGTGGGCAAACACCAGGGGCTACCGGTGAAGGGTCTTAGGAAGCAGAGGTGCAACCAGCTCAGGCCTGTGAGAAAGCTCACCAGGGTGGAGAAGGGAGTGGGAAGGACTGGGCTGGAGGGCAGCCTGGAGGCCAGAGGCCTTGCTAGAAAGCTGAAAACCCCATGTGGACCATCCCAAGGGGCAGCTGCCCCCAGGCAGCATCATATGGAATGATACACAGAAAAGTTCACCAAGCAAAGATGAACAAAGCAGATGCCACAAGGCCACTTGGCCCAGGGGAACACTTCTAGTTCTGTTGCTGCTCCATCCATCCCGTCCTCTGGAGATTTCACTACATTCAAAGGGAAAAAAAGAGACTTCCCCCCAAAAAAGTTATTGGAGACCAAGGGTGGTCATGATTGGTTGCCCTTTTTTTCTCCCTCCCAAGTATCTGACTCCTGTTCCAGATCCTTCCCTGGGCCCTCAGCCCAGAGTCCTGGGTGCCCAAGTGGGCATGTCCTCAGTCACTCACAGGAGTTGCTTATTAACAAAAGGAAGATGCTTGTCTGGCCTCATACCGACCCCTGCGCACATTGAAGGGCTCTGTGAAGACAGGCCCTACACACCATCTTGCTTAATAAAGACCTGCTGGCAGTTGAGCTTACCACAGGAACATGGTGATTTTCTTGGCCACAGTCCTGAAAGAAGGAAATATGGTTTTAAATGCTCAAAAGTGCTCAATTAAAAAAAAAATCAAAATAAACTCAGCACAGCAGGCCTTGCTCCTGCACCAAGCCCAGAGTTCAGGATTCCCTGCAGATGTGGACCACTGCAGCAGGCACTACCTCAGTGGTCTCTCAAAAGACATGCATCTAGGCCTGAGGGTCCTGGGAGAGAGGGAGGGTGCCTTGAGGTCCTAGGCCCACCCACACATTACAGACAGGGAGCCTGAGGCCAATGGAGCAGATGGCACTTAGAGTTTTGGACTTGTAGGCTTAAGGTGCTCATGGGCATCTGGGCACTTGCTCAGGACAGAATGGCTCTGTGGACTGGGCATCCAGATGAGCAGTGAGTGCTGGAGGGTAGATAGGGGTTGCAAATGTAGGTGTAGCCACTAAAGCCACGGAGGGGTACAAGTACACAGGCATGACGGGTACAGTGAGCAGCAGACAAGGAGGCAGGAGGAGAACTGCAGCGTCCAGGGGCCTAGATCCAGTAGGACATCCTGGGGGCTGGCTGCTACTGAGCAGGGCCTGGAGTCCTGGAGGCCAAGATGGTCCTCTATTGCCCCTGCCATCAACCTGATGTCTCTGGGGAAGCCAAGCACAGAAAAATCAGTTCTGCTGGCAGCTGGGATCTGGGCCACATTTGAAAGAACCTCTCCAAGACTCCTGGACTTCATGTCTACAGTCCTCAGGCACAGACAGGCTGTGCTAGCTGTAAATGAGAAAGCTCCAGAGACTTTGTGAGTACCTCTGGGGCAAGTTGGCCCCACCATCCACCTGTTGGTGCCTATTGCCATTAACTGTGCCAGCCACAGAGCCTTCTCCTAGAGGATGCCTGTGGGCACCAACCCCACCACCCCTACCACCAGCCCTTGCAAGAGCCTGCCCTGTCTCAACACTGATACACCCTAACGGCTCAAAGCAGCCATCCCAGGGCATCTCTGACTCAGTGGCCAGCCAACTGTGGCCCAATGAATAGCCCGGAAGCAGACCCTCACCTCCACAGCCTGCATGGACTTAATGACCACCCCGCACTTCTGCCCTCTCTCTTTCAGGGCTTCCTCGAACGGTTCCATGAGGATGATCAGCTTGAGCCCTGGAGTCTCCTTCCTCTCCATGTGCTCTAGCAGAAGCACAGCCTTCTGAGGTTTATCCACGATCACGGTGCTGATGTCCGCTGCAGGGACCATCAAGGAGAGTCAGGCAGTGTGGGCACAGGCTGTGACTGTGAGCAGCATGTGCCAGGTAGCCGCACCATGGGCTGTGTGTGCCACAGCTTGTGTGTCAACAGATGTGTAAGACAGGCCACATGGGCATGTGTTGTGTATACAGGAATGTGCAGTGGGTCCTGAGCAGAAGGCCAGGGAACCTCCCAGGGCAGATTCCAAGCTCTCCTTTGATCCTGGCTCAACCTCCATCATCCCAGGTCTGCTTGAGGTATTTCCCACCACCCAGCATCTATGCCAAGCTTCCATGAACCTCAGAGGGTTGCAGCCTGGGTGAAGGCTGGTGCAAAGGCTCCTTCTTGGCATCCCAGCCCTGTGGAAAGAGCCTTCAGGTGAAGTCCAACTGGGCACAGCTGGGAATCAGGCAGCCAACTCAGGACCAAAGTGTAAGCCCCTAGTCTTCTCTGGGCAAAGTGCCTCTTATAAGTGTCAGACAGTTAGTATAACCTGAGAGGCCGAGGGCTAGGAGCTGGCTGCCAATGGAGGGAGGGGGTGGTGGCAGGCTCACCTGTATTGATGATGTAGCGGATAGCCCCAGGGCCCAGGGTGTCATACAGCGGGACCACCACCATGGAATACGTGTAACAGGCCAGCTCTGCAATGATCCACTATGGAGACACACGGGGCAGGGTGTGTGGGTAAAGGGTGGGGGTAGAGGAAATAAGAGGGGTGTACTGCCCTTAGGCCCATGTGGCCAGGCTCCCTGCTCCAGGCTTTATGCCTGACCCTCTGCATGTAGCAAGGAGTCCACAAGGCTAACAGGTTGTGCCTCCTCACCCAAAGCCTTTTAGACCATACTTGCCCCAGGGAATTCTGTAACTCCTGGATTTTACATCCAAACAGCCCCGAGCCCACTTCTAGAGCCTGCATAGGCCTCTTCCCCAAGTCTTTTCTCCCCCTTGGCTCAACAGGCAGCTCTTTGTAGAGCTGGGAGGAGTGTGGATAGAGCTTTGCTGGGGTGTCCACTGGGCAGAGCCAGGGGTGGGAAGGTGTATGGTGGTATGATTCAAGGGTCTCCAATTTTTCTCTTGCCCTGGGCCCCAAAACTGTGGAAGCAGGTCTGTTCCATGGCACCCAATCCCTACTCCACCGATACCTGTAAAAACCTGTAAAGGCAGATGCTCACCTCTGGCCGATTTTGTGCAAAAACACCAATAAACTGATCCGTACATGCTTTACAATTGTGCTGGAGAAGTCCGGACCCCAGAAATTCAGCCCTGTCGGCCACCTGCACACAGATGTGGGGAAGTGATGGGAAAACTAGGACTCCTCAGCAGGGGAGGGAGATCCCCAGGTGGGATTCCTTCAGGTCAGAGAGCCCTCTGTGACTCCCTACACAGGTTTTCTGGAAGCCCCTCAAGGCTACTACTGGGAGTTTGGCAGACAGGCCAGGCATAGAAAAAAATGACCCTTCAAGACCCAGCAGGGTGCCCACAATCTCCCCATCCCAAGTGCCAGGTGTGTATGGGGGGATAGGGTGGGCCTGTCCTCTATCACTCACCTCCTGGTAGGACAGCCACTGGTAAGGCTGCTTGGGCTTCCTGAAGCCAAGACAGGGCCCATTCCCTGCAAAGAAATGAGCAGATCTTGTGCCAGGGAGGAGGGAAGGTTGGGTGTGCCACCTGCACCTGCCCATAAGGCCCCTGGTTGTACATCCCATACTGTAGGGTGTCCATGGGCCAAGTGAACTGCCCCCTGCCCCCCAGCTATCTGGCTAACTTGTTGAAGCACTAAAGGGCCTAAAACACACAAGCATAGCAGCTCGCCAGGGATCAGAGAGGCCCAGGAATGGGGATCAGTTTCCACCATGATTTGCATAATGGTTTCTCCTGCACACTCAAAAGGACATGGACTGGGAAGAGGTGGCAGGCTGCCTCTGTCTAATAGCCTGGGGGTAACAAGACATTTCAGAGGCCCAGGTTCAGAACCATGCCAGCCAGTGGTCTGGCAGCTCAAGGCTCACCAGGGGTTGCCAATGGTGGCCATAGAGTATGGGCTAAGAGATGGCCTAAGGTCAGGCAGTCCCAAGGGATGGAACAAAGCCAAAGTCAGCCCATGCCACATAATGCAGCTGCCTCTCTGACTGGTGGGAGGAGGGCCAGCAGTGGCTTCTCCTGCTGAACCTGAGCATTGCTCACTTGCATGTCCCTGGTACCATGCTTGCTTACACTCCCTTGCACCTGCTCAGCCCCTGCCAGAGCCCCTCCACACCCCCACTGCCCTTCTCACCTGAGATGCTAAGCCCACGGCGGAACACCTGGTACATGGTCCGGGCATCATCGTAGTAGTGGGTAAGGAGTTGAGGGCCACCCCCAATCACAGATCGCCGGGCCCCGCCACTGTCCTACAAGCCAAGCACAGGCCAGAGAAGCTGGCTGAGGCAGGCAGGGGTGTCAGGAGAAGGCCCCAGCATATACTGGACTGTACACGGCTTGGATGAACACGTGCTCCACATAGTTGGGGCTGGTATGAGCTGTGTACACTCACACACGTGGCCTATACACACCTGGACTATACACATGCAACCTGCACATATGCACACTCAAACATAGTTGACTCGTGCACATAGGCCCAGTATACCAGTGTTCCATACACACACAACATTCCCACACCAGGTCAGCATACATACAATGTCCAGAATCTTCAGTTACTGTTTATACTCCTCCATGGTTCATTCATACAATGGAGTAGGGTATGTTGGCTGGAGTCAGGCTTTCTGTTGGCATGAGGATCAGCCTGCCAAGGTGTCCCCCATCCCATCACCCCATTAAGAATAATATGGGTATAGTCTTCAGCTAAGAAGGTTGCCATCCATTATTTGCATCATAATGTGAATTCGTTTGAGGACTGTGCTGTAGGTACTTTCCCAGGAACAGAGGCCTAGGAGGCTGTGGAGGGACGACAGGCTGAGTTATGTTAATGGCACTGGGGGTGCAGGGCAGGGCAGTGAGTTCCTGGGCCCTCAGTGGTGCTGATCCAGAGTGGGAAGACTGTACACAACCTCTGTGCTGGGGCTGGGGAGAGGAGCTGGGCTTCTTCTCCTGCCTCCTCCCCTTCTACCCTGCCACCCCTCCCCAGGGTCCTCAAACTCAAAACTCTCCAGCACCACAGCCCCGCCTCTTGTCTGGGCACTATTTGGGCTGCCCTGGGCTGGCCCAGAGCCCACCACCTCTTGGACCATGGGGTCTAAGGAAAAATGTCTGTGAGAACCACAAAGAAAACAGCCAAACTCAAAACCACTGGCAGCTGTCTACTGTTTTGGATTGGTAAGTTCTGTTTGGTCAGTGCTTCCTGAGCACCAGGCCCATGTAAGACCCGTGTGGGAAGATGGGGTCATATGTTCGTAGAATCAGACCCAGTGAGCACCAGGGCGACAGACAGAATGTAGCAGAACACTGTGTGCCAGAGACGGAGGAGGCTCAAGCAGGCACGTGTGCTGGGGAGTGGCTGCCGAGCTGGGTTGTGAAGGATGCACAGGGGTTTCCCAGATAGAATGAGGAGTAGGGAGTGGTAGTCTGAGCACAAGCAACGGCAAGTACAAATCATGGGGCACTTGGGGAACTCTAGGCAATTCACGGAGCTCTAGATGGTAATGGGGTGGGTGAGGGGAGAGGAGGCCAGAGAGGCTGCAGATCAAAGCAAGGAGTCTGGACTTTAGGTTGAAGGCAATGGGAGCAAGGGGAAGGCTTTAAGCTGGGAGGAGTGAAATGATCTCAATTATGTTTCTCAACATGTAGCACCTGGAGTAAAAGCTGCCAGGCCCTATGTAGGGAAAGTAAAGGAAAATGGTCAGGGCCCCTCAGGTGTTCAGAATCTTGCCGAACATTTGATGTAAATATGCACGTGTGCCCAGGTGTTTCTTGGCTATTGTCTAATGTAATTGCGTATGTGTGCCCAGGTGTCCTGGGTTATGAACTTAAGTATAAAGGACGAGTGGCTCTGATCCACCCAGCTCCTCCATTCCCAGGATGTCCCTGGGGGGTCACGGGGAGGTCGCTAGTGCTGCTGGAGGCTGTTGCTGCAAGTGGTTGCTGCCAGTGCCCCCTGCCAGTACCCTCCAGGGTGCCCCAAGAGGCCACCGCCACTGCTGCTACTGCTGTGGACTGAGCTCGTGTCATCTGCCAATGGCTACCGGGATCTTTCCTAATTACCTAACATGCACCTGCATGTGAGGGGTCTGTTACCCAGCCTGGCAAGTAAGGGGTCTGGTGACCCAGTCTGTACAGGGGGTTTGAAGGGTCTGAGCCCTAGCCATGACAATACAAATGGAAACTTAGTATAACTAAAATAATGAAACATTTGGCTTTAGTTATGAACTGCTTTAACAATATACTTGGCTACGATGGCAGGAGGCCAACAATAGCCCTAACCAGACAATTGGTGTAGTTGTGTAGCTTTACACCCTATATGATCCGGGTCCCTCTCATCTCTGTTGCCTCACTTCCTACCACTCTCTCCTCTGTCTACTGCAGCCACTCTGGCTTCCTATGCTCCTGGGGAACGAGGCAGCAAGGGAGGGGCTCTCAGCCAGACCCATGGGGTGACTCACTCTATGATCCCTACACACTGATCCAGCGCCATCCCTCTCACCATGCTGACCCCATCCAGACCACTGTCACCTCCGACCCAGATGCCCACAGTTGCCCCCTCATGCCTGCCTCCACCACAGCCACCCTCTACAGCAAAAATTGGCCGCATCTCTCCCTACTGAAAAGCCAAAATAAATCCATGGCCCACCCTTAGGGTCCCTTCCCAGTTCATGGGGCTCTGTCCTTGCTGACCTCTCCAGGTAAGTTGTAATTATAAGCTTAACCAAAACTAACTAGTCTTAGTATTTTCTCTGCATCATCCCACCAAATCCTTACCACACCTTAGGATGCAAGTGCTCTTTTTATTACCCACTTTACAACCAAGGAAACAGGCTCAGAAAGTTAAGAAACAGCCAAGGACTGAAGCTCACAGAGGCACAGCCAGCCTTCCAACCCAGGACTGCCGGTCACCAAAGGCCATTCCCATCACCACTGTGCATGCCCATCTTCGGCCTCTCTCCACTGCCCAGCACCCACATGAGTCACCTTTTCCCAAATCCCTGTGTGTTTTATCACACACCAGCACTTTTGCCACATCATTTCTTCTGCTGGAAAAATGCTCTTAAGGTCCCAGCCCGTACTTTGACCTGCAGCCTCCCCTATCTGGCAAAACACTGCCATGCTTATGATCACCAAGATGCACTGTTAAGAGCAAAAAGCAAGGTGCACAACAGTGTATGTAGCATTATATCTTTTGGTGCAGGGGGAGATCTATACATTTGCTCATGGCTAGGACAGAACCATTAACACAGGTCAACTCAGGGGAGGAGAACTGGGAGACCAGGGGAAGAAGGTAGAAGCTTTTCAGTATACGTCCTTTTGTTTCTTTGGAACTGTGTGAATACATTATCTATTCAAAATGAACAGAATTAAAGTTTAGAAAAAAAAGCAAAATAAATTCTATAAGCTTAATAAAGAAACACATCTCGCCAGTTCTTCTGGGCATAGCCTGGAACACCCCTGTCTGCTGGGCCATTGTACCTTCTTCCCCTGGGTAGCTCTACTTGTGAGTCTGTGTACTCCGAGAGGGCAGGGTGCTGGGGTGGGCTCAGCTCTGTGTCCCAGCACCAGACCAGCACTGAGCACAAGGAGAGTTTGGGAGGGAATTTACCTGGCAGCCTCTTGAGAACCTGCTTAGGCTTCTCTTGAGGCACCAATGAGCCAAGACCCCATTCTGAAAAGCAGCAAACCAGAGGCCCAGAGCAAGTCTGAGGTCAGGCTCTGCCCAAGGCAGGTCCCGGAAGAAGCAGAAGGAACATCAGTAGGAGCCCTGCCCAAGGCTGCTGCAGAGCCCGTTGACTGGCTGCCAAGGGAAACAGATTCTCTGGGCCACTTGGGGTCAAATGAGCCACAAGTTTGGCTTCTACCTTCAAGATGCCTGTCGTCTGCCCACTACTTTCCACAGCCCAACTGATCCCCTCCCTCCCTCTCCCCCAGCTCACCTCTACTTCTTCTGACTGCATCAAGAGGTTGCAAGGTGGTTGCAAGGCCTTTGGACGGTGAGCAAACCAGTAGGCAAGGATGGCGGCCAGTGCACCCACACTCACGAGGGTGGTGGCTGAAAGGCTGCGGAAAAACTGGCCCAAATCACCAAGCTCAGGCAGCCGCAGCATCTTCAGGATCTCCTGTGTCTGCATCTTCTCCAGAAGTGAGAGGACTAACTCTGTAGGAAACAAGAGGCAGGTGAGGGAAGAGGCCTGACGGGCAGTCTAGGGAGGGGTCCTGGTTTACAGACAGCACCATGACCTTGGCCAGGCCCTGGCTCAATATACTGTAGGGCAGGCCCTGGGCCAGTTGGGGTATATAGTCTCCTGGTGCAACACAGAGCACCCCAGAAGCTGGCCGCCTGTAAGGGCCTTTCCCAGTGAGAAAGCAGAGCCCTCAGGAGTCACACCTGACAGTCAGACATCTGGCCCAGTTTCCTTGGGAACCACATACTCAGGCCCTGGGCCATGGCAACAGCTGCTTCTATACCTTCCAGGGGCCAGTGCTCTGGCAGCTCTGGGAGTGAAGCCTCCTAGGCCCCAGGGCCTGGGTGCTCTGCTTCTCCTGTGTGACCATGGCCACATAGCATTTTCTTTATCTTTTCTCCTGGGGTGTGGAGAAGATGGAAGGGCAGAAGCGCTGAGCACAGTGCCCAGGACGAGAGGGATGGAGGGATGCAGGCTCCTCCCACTCCACCTCTAAGCTCCTGACCCCAGGCCCTGACCTGCTCACCTCCACTTCTGACTGCATCACGAGGTTGCAGGGAGAGGGAGAAAGGCAGAGCCCACGGACCAGCCTGGACAGGTACCTCAGCCCTCGTGACATGAAGACAATGACCTATCTGACCATATGAGCACTGTGGCTCTCTACTGCCAGACTGAGCACAGAGATGCACAGCTGGCCCCACCACTCACTAGGCCCTGCACTGTCTTCCCTGCTCCCACCAACTAATGTCCACAGAAAAGGGGAGGTGGCAGAGGGGAGCAGGTGTTAAGCTGCTGGGAAGAGAAAGAAACCAAGGCTCAGGGAGAAAGGGCTCAGCAAAGGGCTGTGTGCACTCCTAGGGTGGCTGGCATCTCTGTGATGTCACAATGGTAGCCAGGGTGTCACACTCTCCCACTGAAGCCCAAGTGGGTACTGTGGGCCTATTAGGGAGTCATGGTGGTGCCCTGGGGTGAACAGTGGGAAGGTTTCTGTGAGAAGTACTGGTGACCGACTTTGTTTTAGAGACAGCAGGCACCAGGGGTTAGCCACTGAGTGAAGAAGTGTTAGTGGAGCAAACAGCCAGACAGGGGATTCACACAATGGTAGCCAGGGTGTCACACTCTCCCACTGAAGCCCAAGTGGGTACTGTGGGCCTATCAGGGAGTCATGGTGGTGCCCTGGGGTGAACAGTGGGAAGGTTTCTGTGAGAAGTACTGGTGACCGACTTTGTTTCAGAGACAGCAGGCACCAGGGGTTAGCCACTGAGTGAAGAAGTGTTAGTGGAGCAAACAGCCAGACAGGGGATTCAGGGGCTGCAGACTGAGGAAGGTATTGAGGGTGGGACAGGAGCTGGGTGCTGGCATCCCCACTGGGATGCCTCTTGTCACTGCTCAGTAACACCTGAGGCGAGAAGCACTATAGACACCTATAGGTTTCTGCCAGCCCAGTGATAGCAGGGGGGCTCTGGGCCCTTGGCCTTCGGAGTCATGGCTGTGGTTTCCCTCCTTGGGAAACAAGGAGAAACAACAGCAGCCCTCTGCAGCCATGGGATATGAGCCAAACAATTGCTGACCACTGAGGGAGGTGAGATCTGCTGAAATAACAATAAATGGCATTTGTGCTAAACTGTAAACATGACCACTCTCGAGATGAGGACAGTGATGTGCAAAGTCATTGCAGGGAAGTTTCTCAGTTCAAATCCCTTCTCCTTCACTTATAAGCTATGCAAGGTTGAGCATACCCCACCTCTCTGAACCTCTACTTACCCATCTTTAAAATGAGGGCAGTATCACTTGGGCATGTAAGGCTCCCTGCATTGCATTTGGCATAGTCAGAGGACTAAAGAGATGGATAAGGGATACGCTTATCAGACCAAGGGGGCTGCTCAGCCCAGGAAACAGAAAAGGGGTCAGGGGCAGGCCTGGCTAAGGCTGGTTCAAATACTGGGTGGAGGCCCTTAGGCCCAGGCACTGTGGCCCCGCAAAAGGATTTTATGCTCTACAGAAGCATCACTAGCTCTCTGAGTCCTGGAAACACTCATCAACCACCCACAGGCTCTGGGTGCTCTCTGGGGAGTAGTGAAAGTGAGCCCCCAGCCAGGCAGAGCATTCTCACTAAGTTCCTGAGCTCGAAATCCAGTTTTGCTGGCAGCCTCCTTGAGCTGGGTCAGTTATGAGGCTGTCTCACAGGAACAACCCACTCCTGGCATCTCAATCAAATTAAGGTTCTGCATCATGAAAGCAGGGGCTCAGCTATGGAGCACAGTGAATTCACCAAGGAAAACCACTCTGGGGAGGACTTTGGGAAGGCAGCCAGCTCGCCTTCTTGGGGCATTTACTTCTCAAAGCTGCAGATGGGAAGACCAAGTCACAATGAGGACTATCAGATAAATGACTCACTACATAGTGGGAAATCCAGACATGCTCACCAGCTTTTGGGGTGGGCTCTGACCTGATTGACATTTTCTTTATTGAGCTGAACTGACTCCATGGGCTGAGAAGTCAAGGTCCAAGAAGCCCCTGCCCAGCCCCGGAGGGCTCAGCTATATGGTCCCAAAAGTTTTAGAACTCTAGAAGGATACTTTACTACCACCAGTCCCTGGTCCTTGGCAGTTGCTCATGGACTGTAAGCTGCAGCAGAAAGTAGGTATCTGCAGCATTTGGTGCAATGCTGGCATTTTCACAGAGCACAGCCCAGTATCATCCATCCATCCATCCCTCCATCATCCATCCTTCCATCCATCCAGCAGACCCACTCATGGTCCCTGCTTTCACCTAGCTCAGTGTTGTGCCTGCCCTTAGTCCCATGGGTGAGACACATGAGGAGTGGGCAGTGCTGTACAGTGTGCTCCAGGCTGGGATCAGACACAAGGAGCCAGAGAAGGCAACTGACTCAGGTATGGGGAGTCAGGGCAGGCTTCTGGCAGGCTTCTGGCAGGATACTGAAGGATAAAGAGGAAAGGGCATTCCAGACAGAGGGATACAAATATACAAAGGCTGGAGTTGAAAAAGCACATGGAACACTGAGGGGACTGAATATTCTGTTCAGAAAATAAGGTCTCAAGCCCATAAAATCTTGTACAAAGGTCAGTGCCACAAGTCTGTGTGGCTGGCTTCTTGGATATGCTGAGATTTCCTTAGTCACCATTTTATCAGAGTCCTCAGTGGAGGGGAAAATAGGACTTGTCTCAACTTCCTGAATTCCTGATGCCCAGGACGCCCTTTACTGTACTATGTGATCCTCACAACAGCTCCATGTACTCACTATAAGGTGGGAACATAGAGTCTCCACTGAAGAAGTCACTTTCTCCAGTAAGTGGGGAAGCAAGGAGCAGAGCCAGGACTCAAGCCCAAGACCACAGTCTTTAAGACCATTTCCTGTGTCGTATGGCCATTCTGCTCCTGCCAACACTGGACCCATTCCCACAGCCCATCCTCTCCTGTGCAGTGCTGCTGATGCCACAGGAAACCAGTTCTAGCCTGCTCAGAAGAGCCCAGGCCCAGGTTCTGGGGAGTGGGGGAAAGTGCAGGGCCATCAGAACATGCAGGCGAGTGTCAGCCAGTCAGGCCCATTGCTGTGGCTGGTCACCAAGCACACACCATGGGTGGGCTCCCCCCTGGCTCACATCAAGAGCTGTCCATGTTCTCGTAGCTGGGTCTTTTTCCTCCTGCCTGGGGTGATGGGGGTCAGTGGAAAAAGGGCTTGGCTGCCCACTCCTCCTCAGGCTCCTACTTAGGTGCAGACACCCCTAACGAGGTGTCTGCAATGGCTGCAGCTCCTTGGTCCTGAGGCCAGGCCTGCACCCCTCCTCAGCTGGGCAGTGACCAGAGGGTCTCATTCCAGGCTCCTACTTAGGTGCAGACACCCCTAACGAGGTGTCTGCAATGGCTGCAGCTCCTTGGCCCTGAGGCCAGGCCTGCACCCCTCCTCAGCTGGGCAGTGACCAGAGGGTCTCATTTTCCCAGGTTCACTGACCTTCTCAGACAGGCAGAACTGCCTGCATTTACTCTGAGATTTCCTTAGACCTGGGAGTCACTGCAGGGCAGAGCTGTGAGTCCAGGTCCTGTGAGGACACTGGCCTCAGTGCCAGCCCATGTCACCAAGCCCTTGGCATGGGGGAGGGCATGCCTAGGCCTGGGAGCCTGGACTCACCTTGTTATTTCACAGGGCCTTGGCCTCCTCTAACCTCCATGCCTCTGTCGACCTGGGGTGGGGCTCAGTGGTCCCTAGGGTCCCAGCCATGGCTGCCTCCTTCATGCCCCAGGAGGCTCTCCTGGTTGCAGCAGTGGGGTGTTGGGGGGGGGGTACAGACAGAACCCAAAGGAATAAGTGGTGCTGGTGTTGCCAAGTGAGCAGCTGTGAATGTTTGTAAATATTCACCTGGCAGGAGGACCCAGCCCTCAGCATGAACTGGCTTCATCCTCCTCTCTCCCAGCATGTCCCATGCTCTTTCCTCAGGCACAGACCAGTTCAGAATACCAAGTGATGGCACAGGCTGGGGGAACTGGGACTTCTTCCCACCTGTCCATATCCTCTGCTGATTCAGGGCACATGGGGAGGGGGTGGTAGTGAAAGCTATAGCTCTTGCAATCCAGGATGGGAGAGAATAGGAGGAAGGGGGCCCTGGTGGGAAGCATGTTGGCCCCAAGGTGGTAGGGTGGCACAGTTCCGGGGGAAACAGCCCTGGGCCCCTGGCTCAGCTCCAAGAACCCTCTTCTGGTCCAGCCTCCTGACCCCAGCACTATAGCCCTTCACAATCTGACTGGATGGCCCTGTCAGGACTACTTCCTAAACATCTCTCACACCTGACCTCTCCTCTCCACCCCCACAGCCCCTGGCCTGGTCCAGCTACCAAAAAGTGCAGCCCAGATTCCCATTCCAGTCTCTTCATAGGTCTCCTTGCTGTAACCCCTGCTTACACTGATACCAAAGTTATTTTCCTGATACACAGACGTGACCATGTCATGCCACTGCTCAACAACCTTATCTGGCTCCCTACTGCCTTAGGACCAAAGACTCAATATGCTGGCATTGAGGCCCTCCATGATCCTCAGATTCTTCCCTTCCTCACCAACCCCCCACCCTCACTGCCAGAATCACTCCAGCTTCCCTCTGTATCAGCCTGGGTGAGGTGGGGGTTCTTGAAGTGGGGCTCTGGAATAGTGGGGAAGCACAAACCGAGCCATCAAAGCATCAAAGAACCTCCTCAACTCCCAGTGAAGAGCTCCAAAAAGAAAATCAGAACCTCTCCCAGGGCCCAGGGGCCCTAGCAAACAGCTTGGGAAAGGGCCCAAAGGGGGAAGAGGGATTCCAGTGCAGGACTGACCTGGGTGCATATCCTGACTCCGACTTCTGATAGCTGTGTGGCCTTGGGCAAGTCACTTCGCCCCTCTGGGCCTCATCTCAAACAATCTCATGGACAGAGAGTGCGGTGCCAGGTGTGTAGTAGGGGAAACTCTTAGTAGATAGTAGTTAGCAGAAGCGGCTACTACATCTCTTTGCCAGCCAAAGGCTCAAAGACAACTTGCAAAAGTAGATGTATTCGCACCCTACCTTTCCAGCGGGCTCCTGGCACTGGAGAGGCAGCTGATTTGGTCCCACTAGAACCAGCTTCCCTTTATAGGGCCTGTGGGGCCCAGGAAAAGAGGTTGACACATCTTGATCAAAGCACAAAAGTGGCGAAGGCCCTGCCCCAACTCTGCCCTCCTGGGGATAGCCGATGGCAACTGCAGCCTGCTCTGAGAAGCCAGGTGGTGGTAGAGGTGTTAGCAGTGGTGGCAGAGGCTCCCTGGAGGCTATGGAAGCAGGTCTGGCAGGGACCAGGGCACTGAGCAGCTCTGTGAGGAGCTGCTGGCCCCTCACAGCCCCCGCTGCCCTCCCCTCCATCTGCACATGGGGCGGTGCTGGCTCAGATCAGCTCAGAGCCAAGGGACCCAGCCTTAACCCTCACTCAGCCAGCTTGCCAGAGCCTCAGCTCACACCCCTCCGCTTCTCCTCCCATCCTGTCCTGTCTTCAGTCCTGGAGGGGAGCTTGCCAAGTGAGTTTCTTAAGGACAAAGCCTCCTTACACATCCATCTGAGACACTGATTAGGAGCCAGAGCCTCAGCCATGGGCTGGGCACCTTCAGTGAGAAGGAGTGGTGGGGGTAGTGTGAAGGAGTGGGGAGTGGGGATGCCAGATCTCTGGCACTGAGAGAAAATGGTACCATCCACCCAGGAGGCTCTGCCTCCAGCTTCTCCCAGGGGCTGCCTCTGCTCCCCACCCCAATGAGGTCACAACCAGCCTACCTGGGGAGAGGAAAGAAACCAGGCACAGTCCCAGATGAAACACTTGCTCAGGGATGCTCTGGAGAGTGGGGACGCTCCGATCCAAGGATCAGGGTCAGCAGAAGGAAAACAGCAGCTCATCTCCACAAGACCCCAGGGCAGCATGCCAGCCCCTCCCCAGTGCATGCCCTGAGAAACACTGTGTCCTGGCTCACCCAACGATTGCCATGCTGGAGCTACAATCTACATCCTTGCCTGTGGAAACCAAAGCTGAGCTGTGAACTTCTGCATCACCTCTGCCAGACTGGGACAATGAGGAGGTCCCAGGGCCTCCCAGGGCCTCCCAGGGCCTCACTCCTGCTAGGCCTGTCTCCACAGAGTAAGGTGTGGGTGGGTGTCTCCATAGCTTTTTCACTCCTACTTCTGTGGCTAACAAGGCTGGACACACAATAGGCACGTGGCCAGGGCCTCACTCCTGCTAGGCCTGTCTCCACAGAGTAAGGTGTGGGTGGGTGTTTCCATAGCTTTTTCACTCCTACTTCTGTGGCTAACAAGGCTGGACACACAATAGGCACGTGGTGGCAACTGCTAGTGAGTAAAAGACAAGTCTGGGCCATAGGCTCAGGCCCAACATGAACCAGATGTGTCTGGGCACTTCTGGGTCTGCCCCCACTGGGCCACTATCCACCCAAATCCAATCCACCTCCCCTGCAGTGAGAATGTCCCAGGCCATGGCCCTGTGTACTGAGCTCCCTCTTGAGAGCTGTTTGCCCAACCCTACTGGCAACTCCAGAACCCACAGGATTGCAACACCTTCCATGGGGCTGATAACGGCTTCTACTGCTCACCCCACCATCTGGGGCAGGCCACAGGAGAACTTCCTGCCTCAGCAGCCCTCACCTGGAACTTGGCCCCAGCCTCCCTCAATACACCCTGATCAAAATGCACCAATACCCGAGGACCTGCCTTTGACCCAGAAAGCCCTTTCCCCTTCCTTCTTGGAAAGACCCCTGCTTTTCTCTAGACATCTTCAGAGATGTCTTAAATATGATGAAATCTTCCTTTAATGCTTCTCAGGGTAGCTTATGGCATAGAAAATCCAACCACAACCAAGGCCCTGGCTGGTGGAAAACCACGCAGGGCGCCGGGGGTGTGGAGTGAGCAGTTCTTCCCCAGGAAGTGTGTGGCTCATTTGCCAGGTTAAGAAAAGCACAGACCTCACACCTGTGCAACCCTAACCAGCAGGGACACAAACACAGCAGCCTACACTTGGGCCAACATTCACCCTGTCTGCACAAGGATTCAAGCTCGTCTCTGCTGCAAGAGAGGGGCTTTCTCTCCATATTCCTCTTGGGTTTTAATTAGACTCACAGAAGCAAAGATGACTGGGGCAGAGATGGGACTAAGCGCCTCCCTGACTCAGGAATTGCCAGGTGAGACCCACTGCACATCCCCCATGAGATAGGGGCCCATGATACGGGGTTGCCGGGTTACGTGTTGGCTCACCTGCCAAGCCTCCCTGAGGAGCCCGACTATAGCTCTGAAGTTTCAGTTAAGCCCCTCGATCTACAGTTGGCTGTGACTGACCACCTCACAGAGCCACCTGTCTCACCAAACACAAACTCCCTGTGAACATGCCTCCCGCTAGCAGCCCACACCGCCCCTTTGCCCCCACCCTCACGACAGGACCTCTCAAGAATCTTACCCTAAGCCCTGGACAGGGAACGTGGGCCCACATTCCTGGGAAGCCAGGCTCAAACAACACTTCCAAGAACTTAAAAATATGAACAGCCTTGAGAACAGAGGAGCAAACAGAAACAGTGTCTTTCACAAGCACTGAGATAAAGCGCTTGTGAAAGCACAACAAAATTCTCAGAGCAAAGAGGAACAGCAGAGGCTAAAACAGTGGCAGTGGTCCCTTTGGAAATATTTACAGAGTATAATGACCAGGACTGATAGTGTGGATGAGCCCAGGTCTCATTGTCCTTCCTTCCATACCTATCCCTGTGACAGCAAACAGAACCCTAGGGATACAGGTGAGGGCCGTGATCACTATCGGGCAGAGGGACGCCCCCTGGCTAGGCCCCACTCTGCAGGAAGCCACATCCTGTGGCTACAACGTGATCCTTTCCCTTCCCAGTCATGTCCACATTATGGCCGCCAGTGTCCTGGTCTCAGGCAAGCGTCATAATTCATTTCCATCACTGGCCCAAACTGAGGACACCTACAGGCTCAAGCTCAGTAAAGGGCACATGGGCTGTTTGTGGCAGGGCCATGCTCTTAGAAGTCAATTTCAGGTGGCTGGGGTACAGGTGGGGCAGGATGTGACATCCTACAGCTAGGGGGAAGCTCCTTGAGGTAGGGAGGGTACTGCCAAAATATGGTTGGGATCACTGAGGTTGGGGGAGCAAGAGAGGAATTTGCTTGCCTGCCTCCTACAGCTAGGGGGAAGCTCCTTGAGGTAGGGAGGGTCCTGCCAAAATATGGTTGGGATCACTGAGGTTGGGGGAGCAAGAGAGGAATTTGCTTGCCTGCTTGTTCACTTAGAAGCCCTGTTGGTCTCCTGGGGACACCTGCTCAGGGGGAAATGCACAAAAGACAAAACCTGAGACACATTCTCAGTCAGGCAGGGTGGGAAGGGGAGGAGAGTCAGCCTGCAGAAGATGAGAGAAGTGGGTGGGTAAGTCCCAGGAAGAGCCTGGGGAATGCATCCCAGGGAAGAAGGAGGGGAGGAGGCAGAGGCCTGGCAGCCTGAGGACCAGGCTAGAGCTGAGGCCGGCAGGATGGCACTGAGCTGCAGAAAGAAAACGATTGTGGCTGGTGTTCTTTACAGGCCTCATGCCTCAGTCACAGCCCCCAAGCCAATGGTGCCCGCCAGACCATCTGACCTGGTACCCTGAAATTTTGGGATGCAAAAGTGCCCAGGCAAGCTGTGCCCCTCCATCCCTGCCAGAGGGACGACAGCAACTATTAGGGGCCAGCATGGCTCCTGTACCCACCATTCCAGTGGTCCTTGTTTTTGTTTTCACTTTTTTAGATTAGACAATGAGCAAGAAAAAAAGAGTTTTGCCTTTGGTTAAAGGTGACTTTTCTGGCAAATGTGATAAATATCTACATTTTTGGCTTCCTCATACTACGACAAAATTCCTCTACTGGATGCCACAAGAAGAAACAAATCTGAATTTCCCCCAGTTCAGTGAAAGGCTGTGCTGGTCAACAGAAATCTGCCACCTCCGAAATCACCCCTCTGGAGGTCAGGCCCGCATAGCAGCTGCAGCCTCAAGCTGTTGGTAGCCAAGTCCCGAGGCTGGCCTGTGGAAGCCCCTGGTGTCAGCAGGGTTAACACCAGTCCCTAGCGCCCAGCCCAGCCCTTAGCTGGGCTGAGTACTGGGCATTCAGGCGTCCTTTTCAAGGCCAAGATGAATGGGGAAAATGCAAACGGCTGCCTCCAAGGAGCAGGGGAGGGTCTGCTGCTGGCTGGTCTGCCTCCCCCTCAAGGGCCTGTCACATGAAAGGATTTGTGTTCCTGCCGCTGGCTTCGGCGCCCAGCCAGACTTGGGCAGTTCTCACCAGAAAACAAAAGTCTCTTTCAGACCAAAGTGAAACAAGGCCCCAGCTGGCCAGGAAAGGCCGCTGGACTGTTCACGCTGACCCACTGAGAGCACCCATCGCTTGGATTCTCGCTTCCACCCACTGAAAAGAACCCACCGTCTCTGGAGAGGGAGCTGGAGGCCTCTGTGGCCATTGAGGAAAGGACTGTTTGAGGGCAGGGTGGGTGGGACCAAGACACAGGATTGGCCCCTTCTGAGGCTCTGTTGGTTTGTCCTTTTCAAAAAGAGTAATGGCTGAGTCTGAGGGAGCAACCTTTTTTGTATAAGGGAACTTCAGCAATTCTCTTGGTGTTGATGGTAAACGTGGAGAAAGAACATGGGAAGAAAAATGTGCTGGAGAACAAGATGTTGTAGTGAACAGAGAGGACTTTCAAGAATGGAGGCCACAGGTATCCTCTGGCTGGTGCCCGCAGTGCTGCTGCCACGGGCGCCCTCGAGCTGTGGGTGGGGTTCACGGTAACCCAGAGCCTGGCGTGCAGGATCACTGGCTTCTGGGACACTCCAGGGTTCAGACTCCTTCTTCAACAGAGGCACCAAGACAAGGTCAGGCTTCAATCTTTTTCACACTCTCAGTGGCTAGAAATGCTGCTTCTCTGACACCCTAGGGTCACCAGGAGCTGTCCATTAACCACAGCACACATCTTGTGCCCTGCAGAGTGTGGGTGCTACTCAGACTCCCGTTAACATGAGATATGGACACAGCAAGATCTCTAGCACACATATGATCATTTATCCTGAGAGGACATCCAGGACAAAACCACTTAGGAATGGATTCTGAACCAACAGGAGGGTTGGAGGGTGCTCCACAGATCTCCTGCAATCCAAGGGAGACAGGCCTTGTCAGCCTCTCAGCCCAAAGAAAACCCCCACCTCTGAAGACCATCCACTGTGGCCTCTCTCCTCAGGTCTTCCTACTGCTAGTTGGGGTCACACAGTGTGTTCATGAAACCAAGATGCCAGACATGTCTCCTGTGAGAGTCCATGGAGCCGTCCC